ATTCTAAATTTTCTGAACGTTTTGTTAGCCAATATGTGATCATCTTCAGTGGATAAAACATAATCTTGTATGTCAGTTTCGTGAGTATGCAAACAAACTGAATTACAAAGACGTGGTAACACTTGGGAACTTGGGGCTGGCTAAATGAGCTGTGGGAAATGTGTTTCTCCAACGCATTGTGGCGAAAAAAATGCGACCTCCTTGCCCTTTGTTCAATTTGGTAGTGTCAATAGCCACACTTGTCCGCGCCATTTTGCCAAAAGAAACGACGCAGCCATGAACTTGTAAAGTCCAGCCTGTAGGCTCCTAATCGAATTTATTCTGTTCCGCTTTGTAACGGGGTTTTCAAACAGTGGGAAGTGCGACGGGTGTTTTGCGACCCATTTAGATCGCAGCGAGGCCGCTTTATGGCTAAAGCAGCTCAGCCAGATGATCCGGGTCGAGAAAGCCGAGGTAATTAAATTTCATCTATCTCCACATCTTGAGGCTCAAGGGAAAGAGAAAAGAACACGGTTGTCGTGCGTCTGCCTCTCCAGAGAGACGGCATTAGGCGCAGACGCTACCTCGAGCTGAAAAACATTCGGCCCACTTTTTTACGGTCAGACGACTGTAAACATTGAATGAATGCTCCTTCGACTGATCACCTATACCGCATAGCTTACATTCTGGTACAGCAATGTGTCCACGGCTTAACCCACTCTCTCGGCTATTTAAGCAGCCTTCATATCACATCCATCTAGGATCACCAGTCACAAATTAATTTTCAACCTTGGAATTCCTGACTGAAATAAGAGATAAGTCTACTCCAACCGCGATTTCGAGACGTCTGCGTGTATTTGCCAATCACATTGTCAGCTTCCATGGATATCTGGATGTCTGACGTTGATCTTCGCTGTTGAAATATTGAGTTATTTTGGAATCACCAGGCACACCTTCCCCTCACCTTGGAAACCAAATGGAGGATCTGTCAAACTGAAATTATTTCAAATATAGTTGCTGTTTATCAGGCTGAGATAAAGTTGATGCATGGAAAACGGTATCAAGGAAGCGCGTCGTTTTGAAGTGTATTATCTTCGCCTTTAAGCATCACTTGGCAGAGGCGAACGTGTAGCGATTTGCTGTCGGCGTTATGATCCCGTTTTCCTGAATAATTCCATTGTATCATTAACCAAGAGAGCAACAAAGAATTTCAGTCTGCATGAATTATTCCAGCCAAAGTGAAGAAAAGAGGTAAGAGGGACGACATCCTCTTAAAACGGGTCGTAGAGCTCAATCTTGCATCTCCCCATGACGGAGACTTGGGTGCAGCAACGAAGACCCCACCTCTCTAAATCTGCCCAATAATGAGACCTTTCTGTTGCCCTCAAACGCGGAATCTAGGGGTGCCGTGAGGGTCCTGACCAGAGCTCTTTATTAAGAGAGTTGTAACTCGAGTGTCTCAATCGTTGGAACCAAAATGGTGGGTTAAGACGCCTTTCCATATGCGCGTCAACACTTGCGGCAAGCGTTGCTTTTCCGTCAAAATCGTTCCTGGGGTGATTGGACGGCCGAACGCAACGCACACGTGTGTTATGTTAATAGTCCGATTTGAAAGTGAAACCTATAAAGGCATCGTGTACGCAACGCATCCCAAAAACGTATAGAAAGGCGCCTTTACGCGAGTCAGTGCACGTGGACAATTAGCACACAACAGCTACAGATATGATGACTGCCATTTTGGTCCCAAAGTCTGAAGTTGGCGCTAATCTCCCTGTGCACAGCTCTAGCCCTGATTTCTCTCGCTTTTCCCAAAGCAAGAGGAACTGCATGTAACTTTTGACTATCCTCTTCCAAAAATCTTAAACAAGTCAGCTTCCTTACATGCTTCCCCTCCGATGTTCCAGGGAATGAAACATCTTCGATTGCATCAGATTCAAAACGACACGTTGGCCGGTGCTTGTGTCTATACGATTCCTGAGCCTTACTCCCTACCGAAAATATCCCGTGCTGAGCATCTCCGGAATGTGGGACATTATTGGAGGGAGGGGAACGATCCGTCTCGCTGGCTGGGGGGGGGGCGCCGTGGACGAAGCCCCACTCCCCTTTGCCTCGTGAAGAATTAATGACAGCGACTCCAAGGAAATATCGAAAGAGGAATATTGAATTGAAGAATCCCTCCCCAAGCAAACAAAACAACTAAAGCCATCAGTTTGGCTACACGGTTGATGGTCATGATGTCGAAGTGGTTAACTGAGGGTAGGTACATGTACTCTTCGCCTTGCTCATTTCGAACAGGACCGCCATCCGTTAACCCATTTTCCGGGCAATGGAGATTGTTTTCTTTTATTGACATTAGCCCGAGTCGCGCACACGGATGAAGCACGCTGACTTGAGCGTGGTGCATGGTGGTTAAATAGGCCAGCCCCGATGCCGAAGTTACGCATGGCAAAAGTTTCGAGGGAGAGAAGACCCATCTGGCCCGAGAGACTAATTGTAAGCGTCAAACAATCCTTCATTTGAAAGTGGATACAGAAAATGCGACAGTGTTAATATTACAGCATTTCATCAACAGCCATCCCACGTTCGTTGTAATAAGAACCTATGGCGCAGCGGTAAGCCAAGGATCAACGAGCAAAGCAGACGTTGCCTTATAATGGAAAAAAAATTAATGACTGGTTGTGATTTATTGTAAATATCTGGAACGACAGGGGTAATGTTTCAGTTATGTCTATCATGGAGGAAGGAATAACACTGAGCCTTGGTTGAAAGTATCATGCCGCTGGCTGTCGGCTATGACCTATTTCAAAAGACCCGTACATGCAGCATATGTACATATTGTGTTTTCCCCAACTGCATGCAGCAACATGGTTTGGACACGGCTGGATAAAACGCCACTCCGGTCACTCGCCACCTCTGCCGATAGACCTCGTAGTTTTTGTATAGAACACCAAGGCTAGGTAGACACTGAAGGTACATAAGGCGAATGCTAGAGGTAAGTGTGGAAAAGACAACTGTACATACTCATTGAGAATTTAAGAAGTATTCCTGGCGGCATAGAGCTATGCTCGAAGCAGATTGTGTAAATAGGACGTCGGGAAAGCGCACCCCGGGGCAACAGGTCACTGTATCTACAAAAAATGGCGCGTGTGGAAAAGCTACTTGCATCCAGCTCTCTATTCCACACATGGGCATCGCTGGAATGGGCGACGGAAAACCAGATTCCCCCTCCCCACCTGTCTCGACACCTCGACAGGAAGAGTTTACAAAGGTGGGAAAAAAAGACATCCAAAAGGTCTCCTGGTTTTAACTGTCCTCCGGTGTGTTGGTGATTTCAGGATTATCTACAAGTACCCACTGCAAACGCAGACTGAAATAAGTTGGGTTTTTAATCCCTTTTTTCATGTGGCAAGTAGCCACTAAATCCATACATGACAAACGACACTCTACGAAAAGAAAAACCGGAAACTGTAGGCAACTCTCACTAAAGCAAATTATCCTCTCCAAAAGAAGACACGGGAAGGTGTCAGGACCAAGCAGGCCCTATGATTATGCTAACCCTTTGACTGGAAAACACTTCAATATTTCACAGTGGCCTGTTCGAAAGTGCTATTGAAGACATAGATATCTAAGTGGTATTTTCGTACGCTTGACTCTTGAATCACGTTGGGGTCCGATACACAACTGTATCAAATTAAATGTGTTTGCAAAGGGATTGAGAGGGATATTGAGAGGAATGCTGGATACTTAACATGGCAGTAACTGGCACCCTCAATCCTGGCTGGAAGTGATTATCCAATTTTACCGTCCACTTCTGTCAATCGTCAAATGTAACAACATTCAGGCATCCAACTTTCGTAGAGGAGCGCGCGTGCTGACCAGCTGGACGTGCTGAAAAGTGAGAACGGTTTCGCGCAGAGATATAAAAATAACCAAGGCAGGGCAAGCGGTACCCCCCAGGAATCCGGGACTGGTTGCGAGGGACAGCGGTGCCTCTGCCCGGATGATATGCGCGGCGAGCAAATCACCAGACTCCCCGGACCAAACTATGCCGGAAATGCGGGGGCCAGGTGCAGGCGCCGTCAGAGAAAGGACGAGCCCCGCGGACCCAAATTATGCCGGGACAGGCCGCTGCGCTTTCATCCCACTTCCAAAGTCACCGCGAAACGGCGGTCGCCTGCAAATACCTGATCAGTGAATTGACTTTTCGAAGTTTACAAAAACGTGTCAGATAGCTCTGAAGACGCACCGTGATGAGTTTTTATGTCCCGTGAACTCTAATTGTACTTTTTCGGTATTTTAGTTGAACTACCAAAACTTTAATGCAGCATTACGCAACATTACGAGGCATTTCTACAGAGGGCACTCTCGTGATGAGACAAAATGGTTCCTCCATTAGTTAGCAACTCTAATTCCTTTTGCAGCATCAAAGCATTTCAGTTATTTGTACCGAATTGATCCGTGCACTCAGCAGCGACTTCTCAGAACTAATTACAACAAAACTAGAGGAGCGCGAGTCAAATGTGATGACTTTTCAATCAGCCTGCTGGCTACGAGCGAAAAAAAAAATCACGCCAGCACGCGGTGAACGCCGAGTTGAGAAAACTGTGAGAAATGAAAGTGCGCGTGGCTGTCCAGTGCTAGCTTCCAAATCAAGAAACACTGATGGGAAAATATGCTTCTGGGGGTCGGCAACATGACCACAGACCTCCATTCTGATTCCAAAAACCATTTGTCAAAACACATCACCGAAGTGTCGAGATTTACTCCCTCTCTTTTCCCCCAGAGGTTTTCTACGAAAATTTTAGCTGGAGGGTTTAATTATTGTTCCGGGGTTAATACCCGATCAATCTGTCCTTCAAGTACATCTGTTCAGGGTGGAGAAGGCCACTCTGTCTTCCCTTGACAGAACCAATGCGCTTCAGGGTGTTCATCGGTATGTTGATCTAGACAGCTTTCAAGTCACTTGTTGCAACACACACCTAAAACACTGAGCTGCACCAATATCTTTCTGCATACGTTACCTTTCTTGTCTGTACGTCATGTTTCCTCCCTTCACGGTGCTAGCTCCTCCTTCCTTGTCCATGACGACTTCCCTGGACGTAGATGAGAATCAGGCCGTGTCCGAAACGGGCTTCCAGAGCTACGGCTAGGTCTATCGTCTGCGCGCTTCCACGCATTTCTAACGGAGCGAAGACCTAGGCCTAGCTCTAGACAACAGATTCGGATGCAGCCTCATCAGTCTGTTTGCTGCTGAAAAGTACTGCCCTGGGGTCTAGCTGCCTGTGCTTTCGTAACAATCCTATTTCTCTTCACCACCATCCTGGTGACTCTTTAGCAAAAAGATGAAAACCGAAAAACGAGGTGTTACAAAATGTATACCGCCTATTGACTTCATACGCTTCGCACGTCATCGGTTCAGTCACCATTTGTCTACGATTTCAGTCGATTTGTTTGTCTTTCTACCGAACATTACTACCAATTTCACATATTACAAAACCTGCGATATTAAAATGGTATTAATTCAACATCCTGCTTGTCTGTAATCCTCTCATAACACGATGCAAAATAAACACTACAGTTTTAACTACAGGGTATAGTTTCTGATAAGCCTTTTGCGAGTTAAATTTGAATAAGGTCTGGCACACTGAGTTCTTCAAGTTCACGCGAATATAACCACATGCATTGTCCACACCAAAGACACTGTTGCTATACCTCGTGGTTCGGGGCGAGCTTTTGTATAATTGCACAAGAGACGCCTTTCACCAATACACTATTTTCACTGGATAAAGAGGGTACCAGGGGACCATTCCATTCCGGAGATGGCGGTCGCTTTGCAAAAGCTTGCCCCGAATCATGTGTATATGAAATCAGATAACACAATGTACCAGATTTTATTCAATTTTAGCTCGCAGAAGGCTTATTGGATCCCTGTTCCGCCTTGGTCTCTCATTCAGCCCTGTTCATCATCGCCAATCTGGATACTTTTCATTCCGTTGTCTGTCAATCCACTGAGAGCTGCGCGCGTGTCTGGCCGGCGGCCATTTCGTTTGAGCCCTCTCCCCATACCTCGCCCAGGAATTCAAAGAGCCACACAGCCCCACGTGAAATAATCGCTCTGCCTGACCTTTACACCCCACTCCTCGGTCATAAAAGAACGGGCAGCTGCCGTGCGATATCATCCGGACAATCCGGCACATAAATCTTCCAGATTCCCACTCCGCGTGAAGAAGACACGCAACCCAAGTTGCAGCCAATGATGAAATAAAAGCTAACACCCAAATCCACCACTAAACTACATCGTCTCTATCTGGCCCTTAATCCAATCCAAACATTCACCGACGCGTGACATCTTCATCCATGGGTGTAAATCCCGGAGGGATCGGGGTATATATCCCCACATTTTTTTTTTACTTTGGAGGATGGGCTATTGAATCATCCCCAACACTTTTCTGTGGGTAACCAAAAATTAAAGATGTACAGATGTACATCAATATCACGAACATTTATCTCAATATAGAATCATATGGTGTCAACCCCCCCCGGCAGCTTTTCAAATTTTCATAGCCGGGCAGGTCATCCCCTAATCATTTTCCATCCACCATCCCCCCAATTTCTGGCACACATTTTACGCCGCTAGTCACCTTCCCTCCTTGTAAAAAACTAAATAATTTAATTTTGACACGAAAGGACAAACACGCACGGGTATAAGGCAAGCTGTGCTTGTCAATCTTTTCAAAAGTGCAGTTTTTGAGTTTGGCACATTCGACTATGCACTAGAGAAAAAAACTTTCGCAAATATATAACATTCTGAGATTCCAATTAAAATAATCCCTTACCATTTTAGAATTTATCCGACAAACAACAGGTTTGCAGAGACTAAGAGAAACTCTGAACACATGTTTCTGTCCAGGGGATTCCACAGAAAAGTGACTCGCGGAGAAGTCCTCTTGAAAAATCTCCCACAACCATTCTGGTAACAGCAGGCATCAAAACAAGCATGAGGGGAGTGGATGCCATTGTCGATGTTGAATGGTCATTCCAAGGTCACAAAGGTCAAGTAAGGTCAAATTTGGCACTTTGGAATTAGTGACGTAGTTTTCATCTGAAACATCAGATCTCTCAATAAACACTTTAGTTGTTTGAGGGCTCCAAGGTCATATCTAGTTAAATAGCAGGGTTTTTCCATTACGCAGCGGCATGGCAACAGGACAAGCAAACAAAAGTATACTTAATTATTTGCACACCGAATCTTTTTCTAGCCATTTATAAGAATTTCATACATACAAATTTACAACAGTGATATGTGAGTAAATAAATTACCTGGGACAGCCCCTCTCTTGAAACTTGGTTTTGTGTATACAAAAAAGCATATGAAATATATCGGCCATTTTCTTGTCTTACCAAGCAAGATGCAGTTGCCAGTCAACAAGCATCTGAATTAGTATTGTCACTAAATCATGAAGATTTGTAATATGAGATCACTTAGAAAACCCCGTCTCTGTGTTCAGCTAATTAAATGAACTTGTCAGAGAACGAAGGATGGGTTGACAGGGGCCACTCGTCTTGTGTGGTGCATCGGTTATCCGTCGTGTCAGATTACTCTGAGGTCTTGTCCCTTGCGTTTATATCTTTAATGAACTGATCAGAAAGGAAAACAACGTGTCACCAGCATGACACCTGCTTTTCAAACACAGCATTTATCATTGCGTGAGAACACTTTCACTACCGGTTTTTATGGTTCACCACCAGGAAATCTGACAAGACACTTTGAAATGGTCCTCTTATGCGACATCGTGGTGCCCGACTTTCACAACAGAAATCTCATCTATAACTCAATTTTCGGGTCAAACTCAAGGGTGGCATCCTCATTTTCTCCTCTATCCTTAGACTGATTGATCTAACCAGGTTGCCTGCTTTTACTCGAAAATGCCTTCCTCAGTGTAACTGCCATTTCGGTTGGTCCACACTTCCTTGGCTAACGTGGAAATTCGAAATCGGGCTCCCTGGTTTTTCATACTGCTGGTATAGTTCTTCCCGCCTAATGTGATTCAGAACTAAATTGACTCTACCAAGTAGGCCCTATGGCACCCTTTGATGACACATTTTATTTCCAAGTACGTTTGCATAAAATTCAAACTTTTACATCTTTCAGATTACAAAGCTAAATATCCCCCTTGCCACTACTACTTGGAAAAACAATGTCGAGTCAGGAAAAGTTATTATTCCGATCAGACGAGTTGTATCCGCCGAGCGTTGATCTGCTTGGCGGGGTGCAGAGTCTGAACTCCGCTGTGATTTGCTCTCGGACTGTTTACTCACAATATCGAATATTTCTTTCACTGTCTTTCGCATTTAGCTTTTTATGTGTTTTTCCAGGTGCAGTCAAACCTGTCTAAATTGGTATTCTGTTCATGAGGCTTAATTTGGTTTGAAACTTTGCTTACTAAATGTAATCTATGCTTAAAAAGAAGTTCACATTTTAAATACAAATATTTCATGGGATATCATACGTCATACACCTGCTTCGCGGAGTATAAATATAACACAAAACTGAAATCCAGATGTTATAAAAACCATTAAGTATGATGTGCACAGATGGTTCAGTACTTCCGGGTGACAGCCGGGGTTATTTTACTTCACATGCACAGTACGAATACCACGCATGTCTCAGAGGTTATCAACCGCAACAAGATAAAGTGTAAACAAGGTCTTAAAAAACGTTTCTAACTTAAACGGGCTGTATCTCTCTCCTGTTCGTCTGCGCACCGGCTGTGAAAAAAATTCATGCTCTCAAACGGCACCCGCTTCGCCCATGAAGAAAAACAAACCGCAATTATCTCAAGCGGTCGCGGGTTCTCGCGTCGGAAGAGGCATGAGCACTGAAATTTAAATGGAAGATTCCTGCTATTAGAGAGATGTTAGATGGTTTTTTAATATCTGCGCCAATGGTTTGCGGCCAGTTTGGACCAGCGACTTACTCTTGACTCTTGCCGGAACAGCCCATATGATCAAGCCCGCCTGGAGCATTGTAAGTGTGGTGCTTGCAGGGAGTTTCACGTCAGCAAAAATAGGCTTCACTTCTGATGTCATGTCTCAGGATACGTGCTACAATCACGCACAGACGTACATAAAAAAAAATCTGGACTCGCAATGCCCTAAATCAGCTTATAGATATTATGGAATCCACTCGCGGCCATTTTACCGAGCCGAATACAAAGCTCGCCCAACAATGCCCCCCGTTGTCCTCCCAGACGTCAATAGGAGCGAGCCAACCTGCACATTTGTGTTCGGCTCGGTAAAATGGCCGCTGGTTGGTTTGTATTTCATACAAAGGCGTTGCAAGTGCAGGGTTTTTTTTTATATCACAGAAGTCCTAAAAGCAGAAGTCCTAAAAAGAACCCGGGCCACTATCTTTGTGGGCGGTGAGGTTTCGTTTATGGATGAAAAACATTCTAACATAATCGTTTTCAGAAAAAAAAATGCCGTTTTACCCTCTAGATCCAAAGACTTGGATAGGCTAGAAAGGTCAGACTAACCCAAAGCACTTGTCTTGAAGGACCAGTGCCTTTCCTGGGTCAGAATGATGCGAAGATTTGTCCGTGTTTGGCCCAGAAAGGCGGAAGGGGGGTGGCATTAGGTAGTGACTTCCCAGCAGGCAACATTGCCCGAGCATTGCAAGAGAAAACGTAGCCCCTGGTTATAGCCCCTTTGTAAATACGGCAGTAGGGGTATAAAAGTCCTCGCCGAGAAAAACATCAATTATTTCCAACATCGGTATAAGACATCCCCAAAGTCGGACACATCATCAGTCAAATGACAAGAAACGGCTTTAAGAAAACCCCATTTTGGTAAAAATGAAACTAAGTTTACGATTCTAAACAGGTTCTTTTTTCGGTATACCTGAAAGATCACAAAACGAAAAACAACCCAAAACATTACTTTCTTGATCGCCGACGTTGCTGGGACAAAATAATTCGCCTTTTTCGGTGCCCTGTGAATTTAAGGTGTCAGTATTGTTGTTTGAGGCCCGCGATGAGTAATTTGAGCCGGCAAAACTGAAAACCAACAGAAAAAAAGTAACTCGATAACACCGGCTACCGCTTCACAAATTACAAAAAAAATTGTATGGGAGAAACCACAGACTCGCCGCATTCACCCTGGGAAATCAGGGTATGGAAACTGCATGTCAGAAACATGGGCGGCAAACCTTTCAGCCTTTCTCTTGCTCTGCGCGTGTTTATTGTTAATTTGCTCGTGCTCTATTTTTTCGCCTATAAGCTTTTTACGAGTTAATATGAATAAAATCTGGTACACTTGTAAAGCTTGGTTTCCATGTCGACGTCAGAAACGCAGAGAGCAATGCAACTAAGACGCAAAACTGCAACGCGGACAAATGGAAACATGCCAAACGGTAGTGTTGCTGACAACGAAAACAAGTCCCCAGACGGATCGGCAAAGTTGAGCCCGGTTCAACTTTGCCGACTGTCTGCGTCAAGTCGCTGAGTGTAGGCCTATACAAACACGCACTCTCGCATGACGGGCTTACAACCATGTTTCTCTCGCTTAGTACCACTCATTTTGCCAATTTTCCCCGGATTGTTAGCATGTGCAGCCCGATTCGTTCAAAAAATAGCTGACCATTAACAAATTACATCAAGCTTGAGTATCAGTTTGTCTTCAAGAGGCCACATTTCGAAAAGGCATTCGGGGGGATATTTCAGTTTCGGGCGCCATTTTTTGGGTGGAATGACGTCGCACAGCGTCTCTTCCGCGACTGTCTGCGTCCCGACGTCTTGCGGTCCGTCTGCATTACAAACGATCGTATGGAAACCAGGCTATCTAACTGCTCATAAACATTATTTCAATTCCCCGGACTGAAGACACTTGATATACTGTGTGATTGGAAGCAAGTACTGCATAGTGACCACTCCCTCTGGAATGGACTGGTTCCTTTTTGCCATTGTGTATTGGTGCAATGCGTCTTTTATGCAACTAAGCAAAAGCTTGCCCCGAATCACGAGTTACAGCAACGGTATCTTTAGTATGGAGAATTCAGTTATGTTCACGTGCGGCAGCTTTTATTCAAATTTTACTCGCAAAAGGCTTATTCGAGATGGGTGATTGGACACAGCTCTGTCACCTCTGTTTTTGCACCCGCTGTTGGTCAATTACTTTTGATCCATTTCGTTTTGAGGCAACTTGTATTTTCCAGTATCATCGCCTATT